GGCCAGCAGCACCCCTGGCTTCCACGGAGGCTGAGCTGCCGCACACCGCCAGCCCTGTGCAGGGCAGGTGACCGTCTGAGGACAGGACAACTTGCTTCCCATCGTCCCATCAATACCCCTGTCTCCCTTCCGCTCCCCTCTTGCATCCTCCCAAGCCCCTGGGGACCCCGCGTCCCACGCCGACATCGCACGCACCTTCGAGAAGCTCGTCAGCGCTGCAGCAGGGCTGCGGGTGGGAACGGGCTGACATTTCATTGTTCCATCCTCTCCTCCCCCACCATTCCCACTGCCCTCCTCCCCACACTCACACGCAGACACACATCGTGGACCCTCTCTGGGGGATGCTCCGGTGCCTGTCAGGCTGAGGCTTCCAATTCTCTGTTTTTTATGCCTCAGTGGTCAGGGTGTCAAGCTCCTGCAGTAGAGACCAGCCAGGAGCTCGAGGAGTCACTGAGCACCATCAGCTCGGTGACAGTATCGCTTGCTTCTTAACATACTCTGCATATCCATCAGCCTTGCAGGCGGAAGAGAGAGAGAGGGAAGAGGGGCAGGAAGGAAAATGAGAGAAGACGAATACAAGAGAGGGGAGGGGAAAAGGAGGAGTGGGGGAGAAAGCCTCGAGCCCTGCTACCACCATCGCAGCCCTGGGGCAGACAGATGGTGCAGCCACAAGCGAAGCTGAGCCGGACAGACGAGCGCCGCGCGAACGCCTCGCGATTTCCACCAGATATCCTGAGGTCCATCAGATGCACTTCTTGACAGCACTCACCCCACTCGGGAACACGACCCGTTGCCCATCTGGGGACATGCATGCATGCGGCACACTTTGCACACACATACCCACACTGCCCATGAGGGGCGGCAGCAGAACGTGTCCTTCCTCCATGTGAAACGGGAAAGTGCCTCCTTAACAATTCTGACAAAAAGCACCAAACCAAGGGATTCTGCCGGAGACACCCCACCATAGCTGCAGACCTGGCTCCATGCCACTGCAATGCTTCACGAGGCGGCTGCCCAAGAGAGGTCAGACCCTTCCGTCGCCCCCAGAGGCTGAGGTGCAGGCAACGACAATTCCCAGCAACTCGGCTGCTATGAGGCAGCAACAACCCCTGGGAGATGCACCCACCTCGAGGCGCTGAGATAGACCCTTGGTAAAGGGTCTTGGTTGCAGAGTCTGATGGTGCTGGATGGATGCTCTGCCATCCTGCAGCACGTTCTCTGTGGACTATCAACTGTGCATCAGCCTGTTTGGTCTCCTTCTCTGGAGACATTCAAAACCCACCTGGGCATGTTTCTGTGTGACTTGCTCTGGTTGACCCTGCTCTGGCAGGGGGGCTGGACTGGATGATCTCCAGAGCTCCCTTCCAACCTCGACCATTCTGCGATCCTATGATTCTATGTTTCTAAGGGAACTTCCTGGCACGCCTCCTTTGTGAGGTGCAGAGAAACTGAAAAGCATGAGCTTAGAAATCTCAAGAATGAAGAGATCAAGAAAAAAGAGATTTCGCTATGCCTTTTGAACTGTCATGGCTTTAAAGAGCTGTCCATGCAGGGGACAGAGAGGATGCAGGCTTGACTCAGGGCAGCAGGGTGCAGGGAACCTTCTGCACCGACCAAAAGGTGGAAGGATGGGACAGATGCTCAAAGTGGGGCCATGTCCACCCAAAATTCCAGTGGGAATCTTCCAGGATGGAGAACACCTGACCACTGTCACTGCACAGAGCACCCGGCTGGTACCCACAAGGTAGCAGAGCAGTGATGAACGTGTCCTTCAGCCCTGTCTTTGTAGCTCTGTGTGGCACCAGCAGAAACCAGCAGCCTGGTCCAATCAGGAACACGCTTGTTACCCATCTGTTGGTACCTTCAGACCGAAACCAAAACTTCACCAAATATTCAACAAGCAAGTTTTATATGTGACTTCCAAGACCCAGTCCCCAGGATCTCAGAAGACCTCATGAACTAGAAGCTTCAGAGTCAGGACAGATCAACCAGAGCCAGCTACCTGAGGGCAGACACATCTTTGTACACTTCTGACCACGTTTTCTTAGATATCATTTTTTTGCACACACTCTCTACAACTCCCTGACAGAAGGGTGTAGCGAGGGTGGTTGGTCTGTTCTCCCCCGTTGCGAGTGACAGGATGAGGGGAAATGGCCTGAAGTTGTGCAAGGGGAGGTTCAGGTTGGATATTGGGAAGAATTTCTTTACTGAGAGGGCTGTCAGCCATTGGAACAGGGGGTTGAGTCACTGTTCCTGGAGGTGTTTAAGAGACAGATGAACATTGTGCTGAGGGATATGGGTTTGTGGTGTTGACAGGGCTGGGAAAAGGTTGGACTCGATGACCTTGAAGGTCTCTACCAGCTGAAAATATTCTATGATTCTGTGATTCTGTGAATCTATGATTCTATGATTCTGTGATTCTATGAATTATGATTCTATGATTCTACAATTTGAGATGAAGAGAAGCCACCAGGACCATGGAGATGAACGGCTGTATCTGTATGATGGCTGCAGGTGGTAAAACATGTAGGTTTTACCATGTGCAGGTGGTACAATGTGCCTTCCACCCTGACAACAACGTGCAACAGCTCCTAGTGGGCTCTGAGACCACAAGCCCTGTCTGTGCCATCCCTCCTGCCAGACTCATCCCAGCCACTGTTTTCCTCCACCAGTCCCCAATGGCTGGGTCTTTTTGCTACCTAGTCTCT